ATATAAGGAATTGTCGAATTTGTTAAAACGAATTAAATTCGTTATAATAATTTCTTTGAATTCGGTATAAGGAATTTAATCTGTTATAACAAATTTGTTGAATTCGTTTTCACGAATTCAAAAATTTGTTATAACGAATTAAATTCGTTTAAACAAATTCTAAAATTTGTTATGACGAATCAAATTCGTTTAATCAAATTCAACAACCAGGGCCTATAGAAAAATATATGAATTCGATATAACGATTTGTCGAATTCGTTTTAACGAATTTAATTCGTTATAACAAGTTTAAGAATTCGTTATAATGAATTTGATTATAATGAATTTAACAAATTTGTTATAACAGATTAAATTCACAAATTCATAAATTCATAATAACGAATTCAGAAAAATTCTTTTAACGAATTAAATTCGTTATAACAAATTCGACAATTCGCTATAACGAATTCAAAAATATTTTTGATAGGTCCTAAATGGGCTTCAATACTCCATAATAACACATCTATATCAATAATGACCAATTCCCCAAGCATAAACAGGCGGTTTAAAAGATTAATTCTAGCATTTAGATATCTTCATATTTACCATTTCTTTGCTATTACCACATTTTCATGTAATTGTAACTGCATTAACGCATCATCCTTTTTAAATGTAGTTGAAAATAATTCGAATTCTATGCAAATTAAAAGGCGAAAATGGATAAATTCCATATTATTTAACTTAATTTGTAAAAGAGTGAAAAAAGTTCCAATTTGGGAGGATGGAACCAAAAATACTCAAAACTCAAGATAACGTCGCAATCAACCGAGTTTAGTGGCTTAATTGTATTTACTGATTTTAAATATGTAATTTTATTCACAAAAAATAAATGGGATTTGGCAGCAGCAAAGCCTATTTTAGCCCTCTCCCTACAACAAGGTCAAGGTAGTTACACACTATATAATATTAATTAAACAAACATTGTAGAAAAAGAAGGAAAATATATAATGAAGTACCGGTTTGGAGATATTGACAAAAATTACTTATATGACAGTGTTCAAATTAAATGTTTTGTTGCTGCTATATATGCGTTTATATACTGCTTCATTTGCAATATTTGAATATTAATATGGAGTCCATGATCAGGACTACCATATAATAATAAAAATAATTCAAGTTCAGAGATCTGATCACAATCAATAATATTTTGAATTGTCGATCTTTAGAAGATGTATAGTTTGGACAAGCCAAAAAAAAAGTAATGATAAGCATCTGCAAGTATCAGTACAGTGTTCACACATTGGTGTTTCTGATAAACATTGGTTATATAAAAGTATAAAAGTCTGCCCTCAAATTACTCGCATTATTACTTAACTTACAATGTATTATATTGTATTTTCTTATTCCAAAATTTAAAAAGGTCATTTCTTTTCTTTTCTTTTTTTTTTCTTTTTTTTTTTTTTACAAATATAAGAATTCAAAAGACTCTTGAATGAAAATATTCCAGATACATTTCCAATATAATCTGGCAAGTTATCCCACTGTTTATTTTAAGTGTTGAAGGAAGAAAAGTCTGCATGTAAGATGTAGATCTAATGTGAGGAATCTTAAATTGTGCATCATTGGTTCTGAGGTTATAGGTAATATTTGATGGGCGATAAGGTTCAATCAAATCATACAAATATTGAAATGAATAGCCATTTTATGATTTTATAAAATAATATCAACTTACGAGCCTTCGTCCTAGTTTGTAAAAGAACCCACCCTAATTCATCATACAATTTTGAACGAGAGAAGTTACATCTTACTCCAGTGATAATTCTGCCTGCTTCAACTTGAATATCTTCTAAAAAGTTTGGAGTCTTTTTCAGAGCAATTGCCCCATACAACATCAGAGTATTCAAAAACTGGTCTAATAAATGCAAAATATATCTTGAGAAGTGCTTTCCGCGTAACCTTACACTTAAATTCTGAGGATATTTAGTCTTGTACCATTTCCATGAATTGATTGTATATGCAATGTCCACGTAGCATCTCTTTGAAAATGTAGACACAAATGGGTAGGAGATATTTTCTGAATGTTTGGACCATGTCCCCCAAAGGAGATGGGTGAACAAGGCGTGCAGAATGTCTATATGTTTAGATATATGAAAATCATCTTCAGTTTGTGATTCGAGTATTTAGAATGAAGTTCTCATCATTAAAATTTATGAAATTATGAAAAACAAAACTTTTCCGAGGAAAATTTTCTCGGCAAAAATTGTTCTTTTATTAAAAAATAATATTCATGGTATTCGTGCATGGGGTTCGAAGCCTAATCAATAAAAATCCTACGTATCATTTTCCTTTGAGACTAACACGCTAACCAGTACGCTACACAACTCCTCATGAATAGTGGACTGGCATTTAAATCATGTTTGTGATATGACCCTTGACTAAATGGACTTAAGTATTTCTCGGAAAGATGCGAATGTTGTGTAATAAAAGTGTATTTCTAAGGTATAGCGGGTCTTCCCTCCATGTTTCAAAAGTGTATATTTTTTGCAAACTTTGAGGATAAACTTTTTTTAAGAAAATGGAGAAACCTACTCATATCGAAAAATTGTATTATAGAATGAGAAAATGGTCCTTTGCTCTCTTCTGGGGATATTCCTTCAAAAAAAAAAAAAAAAACAAAAAAAAAATGGAGCGAAGACCCACTCATATCGAAAAATTATAAATTGTGTTATAGTATGAGAAAATGGTCCTTTTGCCCTCTTTAGTTGTGTATGCTAAATCATAAGCAAATAATTTCAATCTTTGTGAGATTTTTGCAAATTTTGGAGATTTTAAATAAAATATACTTTAATGTTAGATGAAATATCAAAGAATTTTTTTTATAATTGAGATTTAATTTTTCACCTTCATGTTTAAGGCACTATAGGCATTTCGCTCGCCTTGTTCGCCTATCTTCCTTAATAGGGGGATATACCATGTTTTTTCGACTAAAATCAACTGAGAGATTGTGTTACATTTGTGGTTCCATCGTCTACAATAGCATAAAGGAAGTGACATCGCAAAAAATCGTATATTACAGGCCCGTAGCAACGGCTTCAAAAAAGGGGGGGGGGCAACCTGTCAAAAAAAATCTTGTACATGATCAGGCACGTAGTATCCTTTTCGAAAGTGGGGGAGGAGGGACCAGAAAAGAAATTGACAACTTACCTAAAAAAAACTTTCATAAGCAAAAAGGGGGGATAAAACGCCCAATTTTAGTGTGTGTGTAGGGGGGTTTCAATTTTTTCCACAACAAAATTCTTATTAATACATTAACACATTTTCATGATTTAACTATACCGCAACAAAAAGGAACGACCAGCCTGTTAAGGAACATGTTCAATAGTGAAAAGTAGTGCCCCCCTCCCCCCGAATTTCATGATATACATGGAAAGTAAGGATGTCAATAAATATTCGAATATTCATTCGATGAGTTAATATCTGAATACGAATTTAAGATTCGAATATTCGGTTCTTTCCAGATTTCACAAAAAAAGATAACTTTGATTACTCTTAATTTGAACATTGCTGGAATTATCCATGTTTTATTTACTAGCGATCAATTCCGGTCGCCCATTTTCTTTCAATACTTTCTGATTTTATTGATCTATAAATTATTTCCATTTGATTTAGGTACACATGTATTTCAGAAGAATAATTTTGTCCCTCGAAATCAAAATATTGGCAATATTTTTAGAGGGATAGTACTGGACGTAGTCACTTTGACGTGTGAACGCTGTATTGTATCCTAGAGAGGGTTTTTCTGAATAAATGTGTGCATTACTTGATTATCTCAGGTTGTGCAATTTTAACCCCCCTTTTTTGCTTATGAAAGTTATTTTTCCGGTAAGTTGTCAATTTCTTTTCTGGTCCTCCCCTCTCTCCCACTTTCAGAAAGGATATTATGTGCCTGATGATATAATATCAACATTTGCCGCATCATTCGAGAAAACAATTACAATCTTCAGCATGTATGATGAAAATTTCTGTTAATTGTGAAAATCCTTGTACAGTTTTCATGTATTGTCAAATTTTTTCCAACACAAAATGGTTTATTTTAGACCAATTTAAATCTGGTTCGATTCAGATTTTGCAGGTGTACACAGAGCTAAGAAATTTCAAAGAAATAAGCCAAAAACTGTAAAAAAAGGAAAGCGTTTCGAAAGAATCGAGCATAAATATGTTTTCATATGCATCACCATTACTTTTATCAAAATTAAAAGTAGACAATACTAATGAATTTTTTTGATGTAGTCTATACTTGCATCAAATTTCGATGAAATAAGCAAAAGCTAAGTAGGAGTAACATTTTAATTTGAAATACTGTAAAGTTTCCATGGGGTCATAATTCCGCGGAATCACAATATCTAATCTATCCGCGGGTAGAAAATTACGCGGATATCTTGGATTGCCATTGTTTGTCTTAACTTTAATTAAAGAACTCTGGGACAAATTTCTGCGGAAAATCTGTGACCGCGTACGTAGCGTAATTTAATAAAAAGGCAAAAAAGTACGCCTACAGTATTGAATCATCATTAATCATTAAAATCATCATCATAAACGATCATTAAAAGCAAAAAAATGATACTACTATCAGCAATACATGTTGACGAACTTTACAATTTTATTCAATAAAAGTACATGTGAATCACCACTAACAGTAGGATAAATTTGAGATAAATTTATTTTAAGCAACAGTTGCAACATCTTCCCAAGTTTTCCTGAAATCAGATAAAAACTGTGGGAAGAGTGGTATTTTGAAACAATACTTCACATGCCCTGGTGAACTGGACTTACAGATATATAGAAATATGATGGACAACTCACTCTCCTGGAGTAAAAACTAAATTGAGCTAAAAATCACTTTTTTTCTTTTTAAATGTGCTCACTTCTTCTCAAAATCTGTGTATAAAGTACACATCCGTTTGCAAACTGGAATTCATTCACTGACTTGGAAAAATTTCTGCCCCCCCCCCCCTCCCCCAAGACAATTGTTCTAGATCTTGTAGGCATCTAAGAAACTGAAACTTATTAGTTTTCATAGATAGACTTTCAATGGCTATGGCCATGCCCCTGATGACTGTGTCCATGACCTTGATGACTGTGTCCATGACCTTGATTACTGTAAACTTGATAACTTGAGTTAGGACTACTTGGTCCATACACAGATGACCCCCTAATGGGAGTAGATGTCCTCTGGTCTTGTGACACATTACTAACATCTTGAGAAAATGGTTTGATCACTTTGTATCTTTGAGACTGATCCAGATTGGGTGAGAGTCCTCTCTGGCTCCCTGTTGTGGGAGGAAATGGGGAAGGAAAGGAGGACCCTGCCAGCAGGTTATAGGATGAAGCCCTCGTCCAGTCATCCTTGAATATCTGTACAGTCAACTGAGACACAAGGTTAGAAAGTCTATTGTAGACATGGGCCAGCACCATTTGTTCATCGGCATCTCTTCTTACCCTCACTTGTACAGAACCAGCCTGCAAACAATCATATACATGACCTCAAATCCAGCATTTATAAACTTCAGATACATGTACTATAAAAATCTCACAAACTGAACAAAATGATTACTTTCTGACTACTTAAATGCTACTAATTTTCTCTATTACTTAATTTAAGAGGTTTAATCTCTTTTGGTTTTAGTCTTATTACACAAACTAGGAGAATCAAATGTACCAATTACTGTAAACCAACTATTATTCGCGTCATCTTTTACTCGCGAATCATCAGTTTGAAATCCATCTGCGACAATTAATTTTCGCAACTGAGGAACCATTCTCTACAAATACAAAGCAAAATAAATATTTCCCAGCTATTAATATTCGCAGGTTAAAGTAGGTCACGAAACTCATGGATATTTCTCGCCCACGAATAAAAGTTGGTTTACAGTAGTGTGCTATTTTATAGCTTCCAAATAGTTGGAATTTGGAAATTAGATAAACCTGCTTTATTCAACATGGATGATACCTGATCTATCTACATTTTTGTTTCATTCTCAATAAACATTTTTTACTTTATTTCCAACAAAGACACTTATATTAAACTAAGAAATCTCTCATTTATCTTTTATACCATATCAAATTCAGTTTGTCCCCTTTGAGAGGAAAAAAAACCCACACCTTATTGGCTGACCACCTCATTTTGAGAGAGTCATCCGGTTTCCTGTTCAATTATTTATTAAAATGGTAATATTTCTGTCTCATCACGTCAGAAGAAAAGAAATTTGTTTGTATATTATTACCCTGTTTATACATATTTTTCATTCAAGAGGATATTAGACATCTGACAAGCCAACATAGATCAAAGCTCATCATACAATCATTTCTCGGAAATCTCACTCCTTCTAAGAGAGCTTCTACAGCAGGTTTGCTAATTGGACTTGTAAGAAATCAGATATTCTAATAGTTGTATGTCTCTTGAAATGAAATATGGTTGTCCGGGGGTTGACTTTGCATTTTCCTTTATTATAAAGAATATCACTCTTTTTTTTGTATCTTGCATCAATATTTGTTTCTGATGTTTTCTTCTTCATGAAATCTGAAATAATTACTTCATTTTTTCAAGCACTTACCAGGTATGCTTATTTAAGTAAAGTTTATTCGTTGACTTATTTTTTCTCTACCTGTATAATTTCTTTTTCTTCCCTTATACTTAAAGAAAATGTTAAGAAGTAACAATAAAAATCCATTTTTGTCCAAAAAAAATCTTGTTCTCTGATATTGTTTGAGTTACCTCCTGCCAATTATTTGCATATTTCACTAGAACATCACATTTCAGCTTTATGGCCATAGGAAAGTCCTAACATACCTTGTTCTTTACAAACTGAAAATTTGATTCTAATAGCACTATTTGAAAAATTAACAGCTTTTACAACAGGTAAATTTGCCCCCCCCCCACCCTTTTTTTTTTTTTTTTTACCAAATTAGAATCGCAGTTTGAGCAAAAGGGAGTGATTTATAAACTAACTGCACTTCTATCTATGTGAACTAAAGCAATAATTGTAATTTTTACCTATTTAAGATGACACATTTGAATTATTTACCTGTTTTTTCAAGCAATCTACATATCTAAATAACCTTACAGGGGAGGCAAATACAAATGCTGTTCTTATCAAACATTGGAAGTAAGTCAATATTCACATGTCTGATGTGCCATTTTTTACCAGTGTAAAACATAGACTGGATCTCCTTACTTATTAAGCTACAAAGAATTTTTATCAATCACTTGTAATATTAATGTAACAATGGAGATGCTGCAATGTAAACTCAAAAGAGATTGAATAATCACTTGTATTCAGACCTTTGTACTCCAGAAAATATATTTAATCACATCAAAATTAGCGCCCCTAATAGTATGTTAGTTGGCAGTATTGATTGGAAATAAGAATCTTTTACTTCTAAAATGACACAACACTTCCTTTGGTCATCTCTTAAATCAGTCATACTCCTATGAATGTAGTCAAAAATGTATGGATGAAGTGTATGTCTCCTATATTTTGTCCAGTTGACTGACTTTACAAGGTCAGTACTTACATATGAATCCATTAATGTTCAGGATGTAGAACATCAAAATGACAGCATATCTACTGTACTTGAAAAATGGAGTCTATGATGAAAGAATGATTACGCTTAGTGTACAAAAAGTGGCCCCCGGTAAACTGCTCAAATAAAAAGTGTAGAAAATAGCCTCACAAGATTAATAAAACAATTCTCCCATGTCTTAATCCCAACCTTGCAAAACTACAAGAATCAAAAGTTTTTTTTTAAAAAATCTACAAAACTCTGGCTATTTTTTTTTCACTGTAAATGGGTACTGTCTGTGTAGATCACTAAATTTTCATAACACCTTATTTTCACATGGTATTCATTAACTCATAATTAGCAAGACAAAATTTTCACAAATTGCAGTTACTGCTCTATATAATCTAACGGAATACTAATATACGTGAGAATGAAATTTTCCCGAGCACACTGTCTCGCATAATTATGCAAAAATAAAGTTATCGCAAATAAAAAGCGATTTACAGTACTTACAGTACATGTCATTGACCTAATTATGACCTGTTGAATATATAAATTTATCACGTGATTTGTAGAGTCAGGAAACTGTGAATACAAAAAAGCAATAAAATCATGTGACTTAGCTCTGATCAGCATTTCAATGAAAGTGACCAAATCAGAATGTTTCTTTTCTGATCGATCAACATCAAATAATATTTGTTTCTGCCAAATATTGTGGCCTCTGTTCTGTGGTATATTGGAGTTCGAAGACATGGTCCACATCTTAGAAATTGCATCATTCCTAAAAATGTTCTGGATTGTAAGAGTATCGGTACAAGTACCATGTTGGTAATATACTATGGAGCTAATTGTGACACCAACATTCTTCCAAATAAAAACGATTTATTTAAAAAGTAGAAAAACAAGATGTGTTTGTGAAACACTGATGCCCCCGTATGGCAGCTTATGGCGAAGGTTAAAGTTTCTCAAATGCAAGTCAGAATCCAGGCCAAAAGATAAAAAATGTTAAATTTGAAAGCCCTAGCTGCAACTGTTCAAAAGTTATGGCGAAGGTTAAAGTTTTTTAAAAGTAAGTAAAACATTAAGGTCAAGGTCAAAGTTGTTGGTATCCAAAGGAAGGTCTTGTCACAAGGATTACATATGTAAAGTATGAAAGCCCTAGCACCAACCATTCAAAAGTTATGGCCAAGGTTAAAGTTTTTCAAAAGTAGGTCAAACTCCTATGTCAAGGTCAAAGGGTCTAAGTGGTTGGTATCCAAAGGAAGGTCTTGTCACAAGGATTACATATGAGAAGTATGAAAGCCCTAGCACCAACCATTCAAAAATTATGACCAAGGTTTAAGTTTTTCAAAAGTAGGTCAAACTCCTATGTCAAGGTCAAAGGGTCAAAGTGATTCGTATTCAAAGGAAGGTGATGTCACAAAGATTACATATGTGAAGTATGAAAGCCTTAGCACCAACCATTCAAAAGTTATGCCTAAGGTTAAAGTTTTTCAAAAGTAGGTCAAACTCCTATGTCAATGTCAAAGGGTCTAAGTGGTTGGTATCCAAAGGAAGGTCTTGTCACAAGGATTACATATGTGAAGTATGAAAGCCCTAGCACCAACCATTCAAAAATTATGGCCAAGGTTAAAGTTTTTCAAAAGTAGGTCAGACTCCTAGGTCAAGGTCAAAAGGTCAAAGTGGTTGGTATTCAAAGGAAGGTCTTGTCACAAGGATTACATATATGAAGTTTGAAAGCCCTAGCTCTAACCGTTCAAAAGTTATGGCCAAGGTTAAAGTTTTTCAAAAGTAGGTCAAACTCCAAGGTCAAGGTCAAAGTTGTTGGTATCCAAAGGAAGGCCTTGTCACAAAGAATACACATGTGAAGTTTGAAACCCCAAGCACCAACTGTTCAGAAGTTATGGCCAAGGTTAAAGTCTCATAGAATTTTGCAAAAGTGGGTCAAACTCCAAGGTCAAGTTCAAAATGTCAAATATGATGGTTCCCAAAGAAAGGTCTTGTCACAAGGAATACACATGTGAAATATGAAAGTCAAAGCTCCAACCAACCAAAAGTTATGGGCAAGGTTAAAGTTGACAACAGACAGACAGACAAACAGACAAACAGATAAACAGACAAACAGACAGACAGGACAAAAACAATATACCCCCGGGATCTTTCGATCCGGGGGCATAAAAATTACAAAACAAACACTAACATACACAATCAAAAAAAAAAAAAAACTGACTGAATTCAGAAGCAAAATTCCTCGGGATTTTACTAAGGATTGCAAAAAATTGTAAAAATTATTATCATTTCTTTTTGGTTATTCTGTACCTGAGTACTAAGAGAGAGAGAGAGAGAGATGGTTGATATATTCTCCACCTATTCTGTATATTAATGAGACACATCTACAATCCAACTCAGGTGAGCACAAAATTCCAGACTTAACACCAACAAGTGGGCATTTAAATAACCTTTAATAAAACTAAAGCACAGTTCTCAACATACATTTTCGCAGCTATTGTACCACAAAGGCAACAAAGTAAGGGATACATATAAAATAATTCAGTTTTAAATCAATTTAACAATATCAGAGGGGTCAAAAAGAGGAGCCATGGTATTCAACTTACATGGAAACATTTTTTTAATATTTTTTGTCCACCTTTATAGTATAGCCATGATCCGCCATGAAAACTTAACTTTCAACTAATTTGTTTGCATTGTATCATGCATTCCTAAGTTTTACTCTTATTGTGTCATCTGCATTGCACATAATGATCACCATGTTTATTGTCTAATAGGACAATAGACAAGGGAGGAATCACACTTTCAGAAAAAAAACCCTTTTTCAAATCATGCCATCATGAAATGATACATGTATATCTCAATAAGATACATGTAAACCATCAACTAGAGTTTTAATGGTCAGTTCAAGCTCAAAATCATCTCTTTGCCCCCCCCCCCCCCCCCCTTAAATGTGCAGTAATTAAATGTGTAACAATTTAACTTGATATTTGGGTAAAATAACATCTTTAAAAAATCATTTGGCACAAACACTGATCTTCAAACTAAATTTTTGAAGAACAAATCATGGCTAACATGTATGTTAATTGTAATGTAGTAAGAATAAAGCATGTTCTGTGATCATGACTTGCTTCAATTTCCTTTTAATATGCAATATTTCATATGTGGTTTTCTTGATGGTCATCCATTCAATTTATTTTGTTTTTAATAAAGTCTTGTTGATCTGTTCTTTTTTAATACAGGTAATTTCATATCTGTCAGACTCTCAGGGTGCATGATATGGTAAAAATGATATTACAAGTATGATATTGCAAAACCATTATCTTTTTATTACAAGGAGATAAAATCCAAACTCATTAGCTGAAAATGTATAAATTACCAGGCAAATCCTTAAAATGATCTTCTATTCAATAACTCTGGACTCTAAATGACCTCTCAAAAGCAATTCATTATCTTCTTCCCTTTTATCAATAATCCTTTTTATTGCATACAGGTACAATTTTTTTTTAAATAAACCTAACTGAATAATATACAAGTAAATAAATCTAGAGTTCTAGTATATATTTTATAAGTAAATTTGTACATCTTTAAACTGATCATGAAAATTTTTCATGTACTGGGTATGAATGCCTTCTGTTTTATTTTAAAGAGTTAGTATGATATGAGAATACTATATTTTAAAGCAATATGAGCTGCATTTTTGAGTTTTATTTTGTTGTTAAAATGTGATTTTATAATAAATCTGTATGTAACTTAAATCTTTATGATCAATTAATCTAAATTAAGTATTAAATTGTTTCAGAAGAAAAAATTCTGTACATTGGAATGTATAGTATTATAAAAGAAATCAATATTGTACAGGACAACAATAATGTAATTTTGCTTCAATTAAAGCTTAAAATAAGTTCTTCCATCACAAATATAAAAAATAAAAGTTTTTTCTGTCATTGATATAGTAAATTACAAAACTGCAACAAAAATTTCTGACATCAAAGTTGCAGCTCATATTGCTTTAAAATTGTGAGGGATAACATGGCAGTTTGTAGAGCATAAACTGCCTCAATCTGTTTCATATTCTGGTGATGAGTCTAAGAATTAAAACAAGTCTTTATATAACAAGCTATGCAAGGACAGCGTTTGTGTGTGATGTATTTATTCATTCTAATTTTATGAATAAATGGTTTTGCTTAATGATCTTCACATCAGGATTATGACCTTGGATCAAATTTACAACATGACTTATAGGCAGATAAAATTAAGAAATTATAGCACGTTATTCTAAAATATGAATTGGTGATGATAAAAACCTTGATCTGTGAGATATGAAATTGAATAAGAATTTGTTAACAATCTACAAAGCAAGAACAACTACTGTGTAACAAAACATTCTTATATTACCCGGTACCTTGAATCAGTTATGGCACACCATAAAAGCAAGAAACATATTAAGTTTGACATTCTTTGTTGATGCTATAGGGATATGAGTGGGGAAAAATATTTCAATGAACTTGTCTATTAAGAAAATAAACTAGACAACTGAGATATGAGATTACAAATAGAACTAATGTTTGAAGTACATGTATGTATGTTACTTGATTGGCAAAACATGAATAAATAGAGGGCATGACAAATTCTAGCAAACATACAGACAACATGAAAAGCACCATCAAACCAACAGTGAAAGAATCATATATACATGACTTCCATTTTTCCAGGCAGGGGTAGGAAAGGGCTGAAAATACTCACCAGGGTCCCAAATGAGAGAGTCCAAAAATGTTCATGTCTGAACTCCAGTACCCCATCCAGAGTGGAAGCCTCCCTCAACACCTTGTCCAGCTGTCCCAGGATGTGTGAAGGGGCAGTCTAAAAGCAGACAAATAATGGTAATCATCCAAGGACAACTCCCCTTTTCATTAACATTGAAATAAATAGAGACTTCTTATCTGTAGAGTCTGGTGTTGAACTTCATTTAATGTGACAATATTACTTAAAATATACTTCAGATGAAATAATGAACTCTGTGTAGCCAATACTTTAATCAATAGGTATTGACTCCATTTTGTATAAATTTTAACATCCAGTGATGTAAGTACATGCTCAGTGTTTTTCCAAGCTTGCCAAAAGACCAGAGTTGATGCAATTGGTCTTCAATGTGCAAATAATGACCAAAACAGTAATGCAGAATACACTTGAAGATTTTGATATTGAACATCTTAAGTCAATGGAAACAAATTTGCTAAAAACAAATGATATTGAGAGAAAAGCCCTATCATCTTATACCAGTAATTAAATGTATCATCTTGAACTTAGACCACAAACCAAAGTTTGACCTTGACCTAATTTGACCATGCAGTTTTAAGATATACTAATACACAGTTTGAATGATATGTTTATATCCAACATTAAAGTTGTAGGCAGAAAAACAGAAAGAGACACCATAACATTGAGTCCCAAAATCTTTGGTGTAGGAGGGTATGAATGATTATTAATTTTATGAATCACTTTATGCACAGTATCACTCAAAGTTATTCTGTAATTCATTGAAAAGTGTATATTTCATTTTGAATATCAGTTTTTGTTATTACCTGCAGCAGAATCTTGCCTGTGTAAACACTCATAGGAAACATAGTCCCACACGTTTTGATGGCTATTGCCATTGCTGCCCAAGTATCAGCTGAATAGTATGACCTAGAATAAATGGCAAGGAAATAACATACAAACAACTGAACTTTTTGAAAAAGAATATGAACAATTAAACTTATGAAAAAAGAAAGAAAATAATTCATACTAAAAATACATCCATAGGTCATGAATGCCCCACCCAAGGTGTATTGCAACATGAAAAGAAATGTACCATCATCAGTCAGAGATAAAAGTAAAATATGAAGAAAGCAGGAATAATTTTTTAAACTTTTTTTCATATACGGAACTCTTTACTGTGCAGAATGCAAAACAATTTATAGCAAGGTCAAGGTCATATGGAAGGTCAAGGTCAAAAAATTTGACACAGTTGAATAGCTCTTAGCAGTTTGTATGTTTGAAGTTTGAAGAAAAATCTGGAACAGTTTCTCTGAAACAAATGCAAAAATAGAATGATGGAGTCAAGGTCATAGGAAAGGTCAAGGTCAGAAAATTAATATAGTTGAATAGCTCTCACTAATTTGCAACAGTGTAAGGATTTTGGTATAAATATCCTCAATAATTGCTTTGAATCTAGGCTTAATGCAAAATATGTAATAGTAAGGACACAGGGGAGTTTAAGGTAAAAAAAAAAATGACAGAGTTGAAAAGTTATCACCAATATGTATCCGTGTACATGTTCTATAAAAATATCATGAATAGTTACTTTGAAACTGAACTAAACCAAAAATAGGGAAAAGTAAGATTAAGGTCTTTTCTTTTCTAAACTAAAGGTGTGATTGACAGACAGACAGAAAGATGGAAGACAGACATGACTATCACTATATGTCCCGGCCAATACATGAGGGGCAGAAAAATGTTTAGAAATTACTATTTTAAACTGCAAATAAAATTATTCCATATTTTCTGTAAGAAAATGATTCCAGCATTCTAAACTATGATGCGTTTAAATTTCAAGTCAATTGACAATATATACAGTATTAAAATGAATCAAATGTGTGTAAATCTAATTGACTGCTTTACTGATAGCAACCATCTGAACAAAACCCTAAATTGTTGACAGCCAAAATTTTAATGACAAAATTTAACAGAAACTGTTGAATTTATATTTAACATTCAAACAGGTCTACAGAGCAAATCCTCACTCTGAAGCCTTACACATACAGGTGAACTTAAGTATCTAGAACACTGATATCTCATATACCATGGATAGGTCGAAGTGATATAGAAGTCCCAACAACTTATTCTTAAGTATTTTACCCTCGATATCTTGAATCATTAAATATCTCAGTTTTTTCTCAGTCCCATCAAGTTCGAGATAACGAGGTTTGACTGTACTTACTTTGTATCTACAAGGATATATGTGAGTATTAAAGCTATGGCTCCTGTACATCCAATCAGTGCAAAAGGGTTAATCCTTGGTAGCAGGATTTTACTTAGACCAGGAATAACATGACAAACACTGGAAAGAAAATAATGCATAATGTACTGTTATGTAACATATTGGGATACTTAAAAAAATAATTCTTGATGCATGTAAAATATTTACATACATGTATATACATGTGACCATGATTTGAAATGTGACACAATTAAAAAAGTGTGTACAAAGAAAAGTAACTCAGATGTATTGTCAAACTTGTCCATATTTTTTACAACGGCAGTTACCTTTCACTCATATCAGAGACATGTTCCTGAAGCCAACTAGAACTAGAAGCATGTACAGTGTGGTTTATGGCTTTGTTGTTGATACTGTATGTAACAAACATGTGCAGAAAAAAGGCAAATACAGTTCCTATCATAAGTCGTCCCCTGAAAAAAAAAAAGCAGTAAATGCATCTCATAGATGAATAACACTACAAATTAAAACCAATCAAATATTTGTAAATCTCAAGGAGTATATACATACGTGTGGATTTCTGGAGGGATCAGCAGTCTTTCAATGCTGAAAAAGGCAAAAAAGATCCAGTAATCAAGAATACTCCTCACAAATTTTATATTTAAGAAAGAAAAAAAAAACCCAGAACTTTCATTTGTGTATGGCAGTGTTTATACTCAGTCTTGTGAAATCTGACGTCATCAATCATCTGTAAGGCAAATATTCCTCAGCCTCATAGTTTGTAACATTCTTCATTTCACCAAACTCTGAATACCATTTTGATTGTTTAAATTGGATGCAAAAATAATTTATCCCACCAGAGGAAAAATTTCCATATTGATGCTTAATCAACTTTACAATGTGTATAATGAAGTACTGATGTGATGATTGACTATCTGACAAAAGCAAAAATCCTTCTTTGTTATATGTAAACACTATAACATAATAATAACTCATTATTGATATACATGTATCTATTGCTGTCAGTCACTAAGGACCCAGAATTGTTCTGCACAATTTAAAATTAAAATTGTATCTCCTAACATTTTCCCCAAAGTTATCCAGTACTTATAGAAAGAATTTTAATTTTATAAATTAATGTGTAGTACACCTTTCATGTTCCTTATTTTTTAGTTTGAAATAACTATATATTTATCTAAAACAAAGGACCGTATTGATACGTAAATATACCTAGATATATGACATACATCGGTCTAGAAACAGTAGGTAAACAATTTTTAAAAATACTTTATATACTGTTTGATGACAAATATTAGAATACAAATAGAATAGTAGACTCAAATATTCAAATACTGATTTTTTGGTATTCGTTTCAGCTCTAGTTAAAATACCTTTTTAACCAGTTTTTCACTGCATAACTTTTGGCTTGCATTTAATATTAATGCAGAGAATACGTGTATTGTTTTTGTGCTCAGTCAGCTAATTATTATACCTTTCCTTAATGATGAAAAGTGCACCAAGCTGAGCCAGCATTGTACTTGCAAAGACAGCTAATACTTCAAATCTCTCATACCTACAAAATCATTGGATCATATATATTTCATGGTGTCTATTTCCAACATCCTTAATATAACATTAACAAAGAACAAATATGATTATCAATATTAAGGACTAATGACCCTCTGCTCCAAATTTCACGAAATTTTTTTAAACTTCCCAACATTGATTTTCATCAAGAGCTATAGCATCAAAATCAAATGAAAAATAGTATGAGGTATGAAGCGCTGCTTATTTTTTCAGATATGATTTTTATGTCAGATCATAGTATGAAGAAATTTTAACACAGAGATTAGGAAGAGTAATAATTTATTATCACAACATAAAATTAGGAATATGCGGTGTATATGAAAATAATATTTACTGTCATACCTACTAAATTAATATTAGAAATCATAATGAAGCGCAGCTTCCAAAGTCAGAATATCACGTTATATGTCGTTTTAAGAAAACAATACGTCTGTTAGCAAGAGTTATCTTTCTTATAAATATTTTTTCATTGGAAAAAAAATGTAATACTAATAAAAAATCTATATTTGGTGCTTGATACATTAAACCATTTTTAAAATGATCGTTAAAAAGATAGAACTTATTCAATTTTTAAGAGTTTTAGAACTGGATTTAAATGTTTTTTTTGTCAAACATAATTAAACAATTTGAAAAGTACCGTCAAAGGAAATATAAGGTAATGTTTCCATCTTATGTTAAGTTTGATCGAATTGGCTGCTCAAAGGTCTCGATAATAAAACTCTGATAAAGTAACTATGAGTAATACTAGGATATTTTACTTGGAAAGTTATCTCTCTTATCAGAGGGTCGGTCCCCCTTAAGAACAGTTACTACTGAATTTTTACTTTAATGTACCTGATAATCTTAACACTTCCTGTCATTAACTTTGAGTCTTTAAACAATCACCTGAAGAAATTTACCTTATCTCTGTTTGTAATATGAAGGAGACTTACCCGAATGAATAGGCAGGTGAGGGCTTCTGCATCTGTACCCACAAACTCAGCAGGCAAATCAACAGACTAGATAAATCATTATCAGAGTTCAATAAATATACATTTATAAGAAATTTTAATTAGTTAGGGGATCAATGTTCATGGGTAAGCAAAATTTTGTTGGTTCACAGGGACATAATTTTCTGGGTAACTCGTAAATACAGAAGATTCAACAAATAAGTATGTTGACAAAATTGTTCATGGGAATGTAAATTCATGGATAAGGGTGACCCACGAAATTCACGAACATTGATCCTCCATGAACAATGATGATTCCACAGTAGTTAAGTACCAGTTGGTTTATTAAAACAAGAAAAAAATGTCAGAACTTTTTAAAATCAAGTTTTCAACATTATTAAAGCAGGAAAGTAATGAAATTCATTATCTTACCTAAAAATATCATAAATGGTGAGATATGTGTAAGCTGTAAGTGCTACAATTAAATAAGAATATACAGTCAGTACTGGAATTTTTTATTGACAAAAAGTGTGTTTTTTTTCAGTTATTTATGAATTTTTGATTGGGATTAAGCAGTTCAGGTTATTAAAGCATCTCTGTATGTGAACTAACATTAAAACCATCTTCATTTTTTTTTTATTATTGATTCAGATAGCTAAGGGCCCTTACTGTCACATAGTCATGATTTATGCTACAATTACCCACAAATTATTAAAAATTAAAATATTCATATATTCATATATATATATTATTAAACAGTCAAACCTCATTATCTCAAACTCAATAGGACCAAGAAAAATCTTTGAGATATCCAAGGGTTTGAGACATTGTGGGTGAAATACTTATCTTTAGGACACTTGCAGTATTGCTAGTACCATGAAAGTTACAGGTATATTGAAGATTTACTTTGAACGTGTGCGATGCAGTGCGAGTGTTGTGAAACGGATACTTAATTTAAAAAATTGTACTATGGCCAGGATTGTTTTGAACATGCTCAAAAAATTTGTCATGTTTGGTGGTTTGCAACAATTAAACATGAATAAGCAAGATATCACACAACTACTTCCAGGATGAACCTTGAATTGCTGTGATTTTTAAATTCATTATTATTGGTAATCATCTCACTAGATTGTGACAGACAGAGGCTTAAGCTTCATCTACCCAAGTCTATGAGGTAATATATAACACATTCTGCTGCAAAAACATCTTACCATTCTTTTGTAAAATGTTTCCTGTAGATATACTAAATAAATTCAACCAACTCTACTTATGTGTTCACATGTTCTATATACTGTAGTATGTTAAAGGTCACTCACCCATACTGTTGGTTGCATGGCACCAGAGAAATAAGATGACTGTACCAAGGACATTCAATCCAAGAAACAGAATGATCTTTCTTGACTGAAAAGAATAAATTTAAAGATATAAACATATCATGAACATACAGTGAGAATGCACAACTTATTTTGTTGACCTGTTAATCAAGGATGGTCATTATCAAAACAATCAAGCATGTAATTGGCTTACGTTGTCTCTGAAACCTTGTATGACATACCATATAGTAACTAAATGAAATAAATAATTATATACCATATAAGCAGAAATTTTAGCGAGGATCCAATTTTGGCATTTTTAGTGAGGGTGTTGAGATTGCTAAAATTATATATTGCTTACAATTTATTCCGCATTAGAAGTTACCGTTATCTTGCTATGCACTATAAAATTGCTAAAATTACTTGCCGCCAAAAATTACTCATTTTTAAGGAAAAATCACTAAATTTGCGTCTCGCTAAAAATTCCACTTATACGATATACATACATATTAATAAAATAGTCCGTAAGTTCTGTGGATTCTTTCCGTTCTCTTTAATTTATAATCCGGTGGAAGTTCAGGCTGTTTCAGTAGACCTGATGTCACAATGTAAAAATAAGGTTTGTTTATATTGCAGATTTCTCTTAACATAGTTTTTTATACAGGAGGTAATAACATTATCTCTGAAGCTTTGGATGACATAAAATTTAGTATAGTTTGGGTAAATTCTGCTTTTGTATAATCCTTCATTCTATGACATTAAGCTCCTTTTTTTGGCAGGAAAAATGATAGTTCTTTGCAGCATTAAGAATATATATATTCTGTTGAAATGTTTATAAGTCAAATATGATTGTACCATGGAATTTGTTCAGATGAAACATTCAGGCATGTAGGTCCTCGCTACAATCCATCCAAATTTAGTTTCTTTTTTTTTTTTCCTTCTCATTTTTTTTTTGGAGGGGGGGTATGAATTTTCTATTGGATTTTGGGGGGTTAAAAAGGGTAAATACATAATCTTTCTTTTTTTAAGTCTGAACAATTTTATGAGTGATTTTTCTTTACCAAAAAAAGAAGATTTTTTTTACCAAATCCAACATTACCTGTTTGAGCCTTAAAACACTTCTGAATTCTCTTGTGATGCTTCTGATAAATGATCTCTGGGGGCCAAAGGGATAAATGGTTCCCTGTAAAAAGTCAATATTATGTTCAAGCTATTTATTTATTTATTTCATATGACAAAAAATATTCTTTTTGATGATATACATATAATGAGAAATTGCTCAAAGTGAATCATAATATTTTCCAATCAAAAACGATTATAATGGAGCAGTTTTACAACATTACCATTGGCCCAGTGTGATCATGTTGGTGTTCATGGTATGTGTCTGTAAAGAAACAAGTCAAGAAGATTACAACTAACACTTGATCTCGTTAGCAATGGGAAATGAAGAAATTCAAGCATGAGGTCATTCTGATGTAGAGTAAATAGTAATAAAGAAAAAATCTTGCTAAGAGACTCAATATAAATAGATTGTTTAAACTTTTACATTTACTTTTACATTTTATTTTTTATTTATTTTATTCATTACGTAATACTTATCAGATTAAATGCAACCAAAGCTATATATTCTACGTATATATGTGAAAGCAACAGCAGTACGTCTATTACAGTAGTTTAATTATAATATAACCTACAATCAGTCTACAATGTATTTTAACCATGTCAACAGAAATGTTGCAGTCTTGCTCAAGGTCTGCAAATTTTTTTCATCAGAAATTCATACACCAACTACTGAAGAAACACAAGGTTGTGCTGTTTAGAAGTCAGTACATTTTAAAATTGTTTTACTTATTTATTTACCTATTTATTTATTTTTACACATGGGGGTTGGGGAGAATATCTCAGTATCTGTGTGTAATTTCGAATTGAACCCCAGTGTCAATGTACTAATCAAATCTTTATAATTTCCAGAAATAAATCTAAATAATCACATAATTACCTTTGCCTAGGTCTAATGAAACACTGCTGCTAATTAAATCTGGTATAGAACTCATTGAGTTGTGTGTTGTCATTTTATGGTCCAGCGAGAGTTATCCACTCCTTATTTTCAAGTTAACTCGTGTATAAACTATTCGAAAGGAGACTTGAAAACTGTGATACTCAAAGCGGATATATTTATTTAAAAGTTGAAAAAAATAATATATAAATTTAAGTTGTTCTGCCAAAGTAGGAAAAAACATTTTAAAATTTTCAGTACGATCGAAGCAGTTTGTGATCGAGGACTTTGCATTTTGTTTACAAGCGTTTGCATGATCAAGTTTACCTATGTGTAACGGATCCGAAAGGTGTCATTGACAGAATCCTATGTTTTACGTTTATTGTTTTCAATACTGACAGCAGTGCAGTACATTGTATTTGGTCTTTGAAGTTTAAAGTTGAAGCTCTTCCGAAAAAAGTTGAAACTTTGAAATGACATCAGCAAGTAAACTTCTGTTTTTCGTAAATGGGAAAGAGGTTAGTAGCTAAAATTGTGTTGACAGTTTAACAGGTCTTGATTTAGCTATGTAGCTTGATTTAGCTATATATCTTTATTAAGCTATTCTAGCTACTGTATTTTATCACACCGTTTTCTGTAATGTGTTATTTTCTCAGCATGCACTAAAAGTCGCTCCTTGGTGCAGTGATAATATTCAACCGTGAACTCTTCTGAAAATAATGCATGTAAAAATCAGTCATCAAATTGCGTGTCCTTAAGAGACTTTATACTCAAAATTCTAAAAAAAAATTTGCGGCTATGTAAAGCAGTTGATACCGTCACTTCTTCAATGAAATTATAAAGGAGGCCAATTATGGTCAACAAGATAACTGATTGGTAATAATTCAGTACAATGGGAAGCAATCATACTTATCCATGCCTCAATGCACACAAGGTAGTGTACAGTTACCCAAAAATGGAAATTCATCTTTTGCTTAAAAGTATTCAAATGCTGCAATGTTAGAACTATCTTTGATTTTGCTTGTTGTCTTGATAGCCCATAGTACATATTTGAATAGTCAAATACATGCGAGTTTTTGTCTATTTCTTACAAAAAAACATTTTTCTGAAAAAAAACTTCATATTAACTGCATATAAATAACTTTATCAAGCTATTTTGAATAGCTTAATAGACAAATTTCACATTTCGTAAGAGTTATCTCCCGTTGTTTGCGTAATGCTCATTTTTCTCTCTATAACCTTTGTAACTTACCTGTAAATATTTTCAACCTTTAAACGCTTTTGGACAATTTTGATCCGTTCCTGTATTGTCATAGTATGGGGCAACATAAAAAACATAACAAACATATTCATATAAATTTCATTTGTAAGACATTGCCCCATAAAGTTGGTAATGGTATAGACATCGAGGGAAAACAGTTTCTTACGCCGGTTGACCCCAGATTGACCCCGCAAAGGGAAATAACTTTTGTAAATGTGAAAGTTGTCTATAAAGCTATATAGCTAATTTCAAGAGATTGTCCGGGACCTGTTTAAAGCTGTACAGATATATTGGTATGAATAGTGCACAAGGGGGCACACACAATCTCTTGATAATGCTAAATTTGGTATGAAAAAGACCAACAGTCACAAATATATATATATATATATATATATATATATATATATATATATATATATATATATATATATATATATATATATATATATATATATATATATAAAACAAATAAGTCACAGTTAGTTACAATTTTAATATTTCTTTTATGATGATAGGCCCAAGGGACATAGTCAAGTGCTCTTCATCATCCCCCCCTTTTAAAATCTGCTTTTACTTTCAACATTGCATATAACATAAGTGTCAAGTTTTTGAAAATCTCCGTAAGGACAATGACATTTTCCCAAAATTCTGACCAGAATAGCATGATGTGGGAAGGGGGAGGGGGTAGAATGAAAATCTGGAAAATTGTCTTTTATGCTTGACATAATTATTTTATACTAAAATCAAAAAAGAAGTATGTAAGTAAATCTAAAATATTTAGACATCCCAAAAGGTTAAGATAAGGTCAGAGATATGAGGGATGCATTTGTTTGTTATTTTTAGTTGAAAATCGTACAGGTGAAGTGTTGGAGGAGGGGAAGGAAAGGGAGTATAATGGTGAAAAGACAAGGATAAATAGAGAATGTGTATTTAAAGTTTTTTTTAGATTGTACCATGAATATGCACCCATTTGATTTCACAGTTAGTGTCTGGTTTTACTTTGGAAGTCATTAATTTTATTACGCATTTAACTAAGTGAAATGTAAATGATATTAATTGTCACAGTTATAGATAAAATGTCATGCAGACACAGAAGTTAAAAATCTTTGTATGAGCTTGCATAAATCTAATAAAACTAGGCACAGGTGTACATAGATTTTTATGCATATAAATTTGACTTGTTTGGCAAATTCACATGGTCACTAATTTTCCACGGAAATTTGTACATGTAACAGCATACTAAAAGTACATTTAAGAAATAGAATGACAGTCCAAGAAATCTGCACAAATTTCCACCCACAGATTTAACAGAAACCGTGGAATTATGAAATTGTGGAAAAAATATACGTTTACAGTATTTTAATGATTTTTACTAATTAGAAGCTGTCCATCATAACAGATTTTTTTTATTTTCATACATTTTTTCTTATTTTTCTGTAGGTTGAAGAGAGTGAACCAGACCCAGAAACCACACTTCTCCAGTATTTGAGGCTGAAATGTATCCTGTCACTTTCATTTCCTTCTTTTTATCAGTATTAACCAGTGTGTTCACATGCCAAAAATGCTGATAATCCTCTTACAAATATCTGAGAAGTAAATAGTCCGACTATTGACCTCCACCAGTCAAAGAAAAAATATCTGGCTTTGTGCCCTTCTATATCAAAGAGCAAAAAAGTTTGCTGAAAAAGTAGTGTTTTCAAATTTAAGATAAAAGTCATTGACCTAGTAACCTATGTTGACTTCATAAAATCACCATATATATATTGTGCATTGATAAAATAGACCCATTTCTTAGCTAACCAGGGTCAACATTTTACTGTGGTATGAAGTTTGATATAAAATGTGTTTCATTTGTCACTGGTTTAACTTCATCATTTAAATCTTTTGTGATATATTTATTTGCTCATCAGGGCTATCTTGAGATCAAATTAGAAAAATTTGATTTTCTTTATAATTTTTTTGTAAGCATTGACTGTAAATTTTTAAAATGTATAACTTTCATCTCATACTAGATTTACTGTATAGTAATTATTTTCCATAAAATTTCGTATCAAGGATTTAATAATACATTCTGATATTATTTGACAAATAAAGTACAGTACTTTTATTATAATTGATATATTGATATTGAATCTAAAGACTAGAATTTCAGATTTGTGTGAAATTTAAACTTTATCAAATTGCAATCAGACATAAATGGTTAATGGGGGTGTATTGTGATATATCATGATACACTTGGACTGTATCACAATATGTATCATGATATTTCATCTTTCATAATTTTTTGCATAATTTTGTGTCTCTGTTCTGATATGAGAAATTCTCTATCATAATGTGAAAGGATAAAAGTTATAGATTTTTTCCATTCACAAATACATAATGAAACATTTAATAAGCTCTGAACACAATAAAAACAGCTTAGTTAAATAAAGAAAATAACTTTTATTAGGTTAAACTAAAAAGAAATTGCATAAATTGCTTAAATTGTTATATATTGTGATACACATAAGATTTTTGTACCATACGTGGTATACATTACTTTTTAGCTCACCTCGACGAAGTCGAGATGAGCTTATGCTATACCTCTGGCGTTGGCATCGGTGTAAGCGTCGGCATTCAGGTTAAAGTTTTAAGAGCAAGTCTATTCCCAAGTAACTATAAGCCCTACCTGGACCAAACTTGCATGCATGGATGATGCATTTAGGGATGGAGACTACCAGACTTGCTGGATCTGACCTACATTTTCCAGATGAGTGATCAGGTTAAAGTTTTAGGAGGAGGTCCATTCCCAAGTAACTACAAGCCCTACCTGGACCAAACTTGCATGGATGATGCATTTAGGGATGGAGACTACCAGACTTGCTTCGGATGCTGGATATGACCTACATTTTCCAGATGAGTGACCAGGTTAAAGTTTTTGGAGCAGGTCCATTCCCAAGTAACTACAAGCCCTACCTGGACCAAACTTGCATGGATGATGCATTTAGGGATGGAGACTACCAGACTTGTTTCGGATGCTGGATCTGACCTACATTTTCCAGATGAGTGACCAGGTTAAAGTTTTTGGAGCAGGTCCATTTCCAAGTAACTATAAGCCCTACCTGGACCAAACTTGCATGGATGATGTATCTGGGGATGGAGACTACCAGACTTGCTTCAGATGCTGGATCTGACCTACATTTTCCAGACGAATGACCAGGTTAAAGTTTTTGAAGCAGATCTCATTTCAAAGTAACTACAAGCCCTACCTGAACCAAACTTGCATGGATGATGTATCTAGGGATGGACACTACCAGACTTGCTTCGGATGCTGGATCTGACCTACATTTTCCAGATGAGTGACCAGGTTAAAGTTTTTGAAGCAGATCTCATTTCCAAGTAACTACAAGCCCTACCTGAACCAAACTTGCATGGATGATGTATCTAGGGATGGACACTACCAGACTTGCTTCAGATGCTGGATCTGACCTACATTTTCCAGATGAGTGACCAGGTTAAAGTTCTTGGAGCAGGTCCATTCCCAAGTGATTATAAGCCCTTCCTTGACTAAACTTGCATGGATGATGCATCTAGGGATGGAGACTACCAGACTTGCTTCAGATGCTGGATCTGACCTACATTTTCCAGATGAGTGACCAGGTTAAAGTTTTAGGAGGAGGTCCATTCCCAAGTAACTACAAGCCCTACCTGAACCAAACTTGCATGGATGATGTATCTAGGGATGGAGACTACCAGACTTGCTTCGGATGCTGGATATGACCTACATTTTCCAGATGAGTGACCAGGTTAAAGTTTTTGGAGCAGGTCCATTCCCAAGTAACTATAAGCCCTACCTGGACCAAACTTGCATGGATGATGCATCTAGGGATGGAGACTACCAGACTTGCTTCGGATGCTGGATCTGACCTACATTTTCCAAACGAGTAACCATGTCAATGTGTTTGGAGTAGCTCTATAATTATATGGCCTGTTATGATTTAACTTGCATAGATGATGCATTCCAGACTTGCTTTGGATGTAGGAAATGAAAAACATTTTCTTGATTAGTGAAGAGGTTAAAGTTTTTGGAACAGGTCAATTCCCAAAGAACTATAAGACCTACTTACACAGAACTTGCCTGAATATTGTTTTTAGGATGCACACTAACTATAAAGAAAATATGGTGTGAGATTTGCATTACTTTTACTGATAACATTCGTCGAGGTGAGCTTCGTAATCTTTGATTACCTATGTTTTGTGTATTGCAATATATCAGTATATCGTTACACCCCTGATGGTTAAGGTTTATGATATTAAAGTAGATTTAAGGACCCTCTATACATTAACGAAAAACATTTTTAGCTCACCTCAACAAAGTTGGGGGAGCTTATGTAATGCCCTCGGCCATGGCGTCGGTGTCGGGGCAGTTTTTGGAGCAGATTTCTTCTCAAGTACTTCTATTCCCTAAATTGATCAGAAATGCATGGATGATGCTTCTAATGTGTTTCTTTGTACCAGTCAAAGTTTCAGATGCTGCAATTTCAGCTAAAGAATGACCAAGTTGATGTTTTTGGAGCAGGTTAAAGTTTTTGGAGCAGGTTAAAGTTTTTGGAGCAGATCTCATTTCCAAGTAACTATAAACCCTATATTGACCAAACTTGCATGAATGATACATCTAAGGATGCACACTACTGTACTTGCTTCAGATGCTGGATCTGATCTACATTTTCCGGATGAGTGACCAGGTTAAAGTTTTGAAGCAGATCTCATTTCCAAGTAACTATAAGCCCTATGTTGACCAAATTTGCATGGATGATACTTCTAAGTATGCCCACTACTGGACTTGCTTCGGATGCTGAATCTGACCTACATTTTCCAGATGAGTGACCAGGTTAAAGTTTTTGGAGCAGGTCCATTACCAAGAAACTAAGGCCTATCTGAACCAAACTTGCATGGATGATGCATCAAGTGATGAACACCCTCAAACTTGCTTCAGATACTGGATTTGACTTACATTTTCTGGATGAGTGACTAGTTTAAAGTTTTTAGGTAAGTCAATTCCCAAGTAAAAGTAACTGCAAGCCCTATCAGACCAAAATTGCATAAATGTTGAATCTAGAGATGCACAGTACTAGATTATTAGTTATTTGCCTTGCTTTAAGTGGTGGCGTCTCCATATGAGTGAAAAATTCTTGAGAGGAATGTTAAATAACAAACAAAACATAAAGACAACATTCGTTGAGGTGAGGTCTGTAATCTCTGACTACCTATGTTTTAATCATCAAGGAAATTATTGCATAACTTTAAGGTGTCTACCCAGGTATTCAATTCATAGAGTTTTATGTGCTGGTTAGCATTTTTTTCTGTTTTACAATTCTGACATACACTCCTTAACTGGGATACAGTAAAATTGACAGGAACTAAATTAGGCTGTGGAGAAGGAGGATGTGGTGCCTGTACTGTTATGATCTCAAAATACGACCCTGTCAGTAAAAGTGTTAGGTAAGTTAAAGAGGCATTGAAGACACTCTTGGTAAGCGATAACCTCTTTATTAACACTTTGGTAGGCCATGACATCGACAGCAAAATAGTCTGTTAACACCTATTGATCTCTGAAAAAAAAAAACATTATTTACACTCCAAGGTAAGTTATGACATCATCAGTGATACTCTTTACAAGTGACAGATTTCTAATTAAATTCTGACATTAGCATTACTCTCTCAGGTAAGTTCTGACATCAGCAGTGTTACTCCGCACAAATGAGTGACTTGTAAGTCCTGACATCATCTTTAACATTCTCAGGTAAGTCATGACATCATCATTAACATTCTCAGGTAAGTCAAGACATCATCACTGACACTCTCTTGTACATCCTGACATCATTAATACACTCAGGTAAGTCATGACATCAGCAGTTTTATTCCTTGCTAGTGAGTGGCTTCAGGTAAGTTCTGACATCATCATGAATGCTCTCGGGTAAGTCATGACATCATCATTAATACACTTTCAGGTAAGTCCTGCCATTGTCATTAAACACTCAGGATAGTTCTGACATCATCAATAACACTATCAGGATAGTCCTGTCATCATCATTAACACTCTCAGGTAAGTCCTGACATCATCATTTACACTCTCAGGTTAGTCCTGCCATCAACATAAACACTCTCAGGTAAGTCTTGTCATCATCATAACACTCTTATGTAAGTCCTGACATCATCATTAACTCTCCCAGGTAAATCATGACATCATCATTAACACTCTCCTGTGAGATAAGATGGCATCATGGACACTGTTGTCAGTTATTACTACATTGACACTCAGGTATGTAATGGTTTAGTCAGTGATACTCATTTAGCTAGTAATTAGTAGCTAAGTTAGCTTAGTAAGCTAAGTTAGCAAACTCTGACATAGTCCATGGTTTTGTACTTGAAACAAGCCAATTTAAAAAAAGTATAGATGATACATTAGACAATATAGGATAAATTTTAAATTTACAGTTGTATGTATATAATTTTCTGATGTACTCTTTTCATTTTCTATTTTATAGACATTTCTCAGCCAATGCCTGCCTTGCCCCTCTGTGTGCCATGCATGGATTGGCTGTTACTACAGTAGAGGGCATTGGTAGTGTCAAAAATGGACTACATCCTGTTCAGGTAGGGTAGTAGCTGCAGAACTGTAGCTCTTTTTTTCTCTGAAAATTTAGGACAGATGGACCTGAAGTGCAGGTAGTTGGATAAAACTTGAGGAAATAAATTAATGGTATAGAGCCCATGTAATGGATATTTTCCCTGCAGTAATGTTTATTTGCATTTAGTTAATAAAAGTTTTTATGGTACTTTGAAATCTACAATTTTGACATTGCAAGTGCTTTGTGCATTGGAAAAGGAAAAAATCAGAATGAGACAGTAGGATAAAAAAATAAATGAATTCCATTAGTATTTTCTAGGATATTTATTGTTCTTTAATGAATTTAACAATTGGATTAAATTCTTAATTACAGGAGAGGATTGCTAAATCCCATGGCTCTCAATGTGGATTCTGTACCCCAGGCATTGTGATGTCCATGTACACTCTCCTTAGAAACAATCCACTCCCTACAAGGGCAGATATGGAGAGTGCATTTGAAGGTGGGACACTTTTTAGCCTTGTTTTCAGACAGTATAAATGTAATGGAGGATGACTCTTTGTTTTTATTTAAGGAATGAATTTAATAGCTACCCATTTTATATGGTATAAACTTGGTTGGGGCAGTTTACGCTTTATAAACCGCGAAGCGGTTTATAAAAAAGCGTAAACTGTTCCAACCCAGTTTATACCGTATAAATTGGGTAGTTATTAAATTCATTCCTTATAATTTAATTTTCGTTAATTTGGTGTAAGAAAAAAAAAGATGATTGTCCATTAAAATGACTTCAATTTGTACAAAATTTGAATATAACGTCAGGCGGACCGATACGTTTTTGACGCAAGCCATTGTGACATAGGCAACCCATTTTATACGATATAAAGTTAATTTTTTATCCAATCAAATACAGCGTTACAACCAGAATTAAATTATAATAGAGGGGTTTTTTGGTTGAAATTTTTGCATATTCAATGCAAACACTGCTATGAAAAATGTTGTTAATAAACAAAATGTGAACTGTAAAGGCAACATATTTACAAAACAGAGCAATCCTTTCACATGGAGTATAATGAGAAAAAACATATTGTGAATAAACACTCAAAAGTGTGCACATTATTACATCCTTTTTAAACTTCTTGAGATATGAAAAGAAATAGAAAGTGATTTTAAGTCGCATTGTGCCTACCAATGAAAGCAAATTCAAATTAGTAACCTCAAAATTTGTTTGCAGGAAATTTGTGCAGATGTACTGGATACAGACCTATATTAGATGGCTTTAGAACTTTCACAAAGGCAAGTGTTCATTTTAATTAATGTTCCATATAAAGGGTTTTCTCAGTTTGGTGTTATTTTGAGCATCAATAAAAAGTTTACCTTTAATGAGAAATACAGATCTGATTTGAACATATTTTATTATGTACTGAAACATAAATGGATTGAGCAGCAAGCATATCCTTATATATAAGCCCTCTCCACAGGTACAAGGTTCATTTACATTATACACAATACTATATCATATAGTTACAGGTTCATATCATCAATAAGTTATAGTTAAGTAACACAAAATTGATTGGAAATTAAGCAGAATAAAAAAAAGGGGGGGGGGGGGGGAGTTGTAAATGATTACTGGTTTTATGAGAAAAATGAGGGAAAAAATAAAAAGTGGGAAATACAGCAAATTAAGATAAATTATATAAAATACAATGAATGTGTATTTGAATAATAAAATTACATAATTTCATATCATCTATGAAACCTCTTAGTTTGAACACAATCAAACAATTTAACATTTTTGCATAAGGAATATTAATATTACAAAATAACAATAGATTTAGAGATATAGGATATTGCAGGTCTATACTAGATATACAATTAAAAAGAATATTTCTTTGCTTGACATAACATGGACACTCAAAGAAAAAATGATACACATTTTCAGTATGAAAACCACAGTTTTCACATTTGGAACTTTCACTTATAAAAAAAATTTATGTAAATCAGCATTTAAACTACTAGCATTATTTCTTAATTGACAGTGAATAATATTTTGTCTACGATTAGCATTATTAAAAGCTGATTGGGAGTTCTGTTATAAGCCTTATTAATGGAATTAGTGAAATAAGCTATAGTTGGTAGATTTCTAATATGGTATGGTAAATTATTCCATTTTGTGTGTGGTTGTTTGAAGGATCAATTATTGGACCATTTACACCAAATTTATAATTGGGATTGGAAATATTTTTTCTGGAAAAATTTATGTTCACTGTTTTCTTTGGATTAAAGTCAACTATCCATTGTTTTGACCACTGATCCAACTTCTCAAAGTCATTTGTCAATGAGTTTGCATCACTGACTATAACATTGTCAACAATAATGTAGAGTGATGTATCATCAGCAAATAATCGAACATTGTTAAATTTGAAGAAATATTGATATATAATAGGAACAAGAAAGGTCCAAGAACAGATCCTTGAGGGACACCTGAACTAGTTGATCCAGTAGTTGATGCATAACCATCAAGGACCACCCTTTGTTTTCTATTCATTAAGTAATTTTTAACCCAGTTTATAATTTGATGTGATATTCCAATTTCCCTTAATTGAAATATGATTCCTTCATGCCAAACCCTATCAAAGGCTTTAGATATGTCACAGACCACAAATCTTACATCTCGCCCTTTATCAAGATTGGATATAATAGTATTTCTAGATTTCCACCAATTGATTAGTGGTTGAGCCACCTGTTTGAAAAGCAGACTGGAACTTATATAGTATATTATTTTCAAATATATAGTTGTGTAGATGCTTGACAGTAATTTTTTCTAATAATTTGCAAACAACAGATGTTACTGATATTGGTCTGTAGTTATTGACATCATCTGCATTTTCTTTATTTTTATAAACAGGTGTTACCTGGGCAATTTTCCAAATGTTAAGAAGTGTTCCATTACTAAGTGATATAATAAATAATTTTGTCAGAGGCTTATGGATTGTTTGTGCAATGTGTTTTAAAATTTTAGATGAAACACCATCAGGACCTGATGGCTTACATATTAATGATTTGTAATTGATCTAATACTTCTGAATCCCAATTTTTATTTGCTAAATAATTATTTAGTTTAATGTAATCAGCCTTACTGTAATCAATAATTTCTCTCTTGTATGTATATTGTTTATGTATATTAAACTTAAGGTCCAATCCAGCAAGGGAATGTGAACTACAAAATGGGGGGGGGGGGGACAAATATACTCTCAACTAAAGCTGGGTTGCTAGTAATAATTAAATCAATACATGTACCCTCCATTGTTGTAAAATTGGTTGGACAATTAACTAAATTTTTTAAAATTTTGTTTTTGTAGCATTAATTTGAAACTAGTTCTTTGATTTCACAGAACATTAACATTAAAATCCCCTAGTAAAAATAAAGGAAGATTACATTCAAGTGCCTTGTCCAAGTTTGAACAAAATAAGTCCCAACAGCTAGCCAATGAAAATGGAGGTCTATATAGTACAGCTAATAATATTTTTTTGTTGCCATTATGTATTTCTGACCAAAGGATTTCTAAACCATCAATTATCAAATCATTTAGAACATGGAAAGCTAATTGGTCCAAAATGTACATACGGTAGCAACACCACCACTATGTCTATTCCTGTCTTTATGAATGGTTGGATGAAACCCTTCTATTTAAATTAGGGATGGCAACGAATATTGAACATTCGAATATTCATTCAATGAGTTGATATTCGAATATGAATTTAAGATTCGAATATTCGGTGTTTTTCAGATTTCATAAAAAGAAGTACTGTGATTAATAAATTTTTATTAGAACAGTGCTGGAATTATCCCTGTTTAATTTACTAGCAGTCAATTTCGATCGCCTGATTTCTTTCACGTATCATGTTGTAAATTTTGAATTTACTAGGGGGAGGTAAATGCAAAATTTACAACATGATAACTAGTTATCATGTAAATTTTGCATTTACCTCCCCCTAGTAAATTCAAAATTTACATGATACACTACTTTCTTAGCTTATAAATCTACTAAATAACATGTATTTTGGTTTGAGTAAAGTGTTAAAGAATATTGTACAATAATCCTTTAATTATAAGTATAATACAGAACGTACTTTCATAGATTTTATTAGTTAGATACGATCGGATCTAGAATCGAGGACAACAAATGAAATCTAAGAATGTCTAAAAGGCATGAAGAGTATATTTATCAAAATAAAATTAATTGATCATTGAATGAATGTCTGATAGAATTAATCTGTAATTAATATTGTAAAGGGCTTAATTTCAGAATAAATGTGCAAATTACTTGTTTATCTCGGGTTGTACATAATCCTGAATTTTATATTCATTATCGGGAAATTATTTAATTACCTAGGAAAATTGTCTATGGAAATATTTGTTTACATTGTATCAAAGATTATAATCATATCTCTTATCAGGCAGATAATTGTAATTTATTACACGTATTGAAATATGAACAGTACTATACCGTTACGACTATCTTGCCTTTTGTAAGACGACTGGTTCCTCAGTTGGGGCTACTATAAATACACGTTTCATTTGTTAAAATTATACTTTTCTACATTTAAATCAATTATTTATTTCAAACATTGACAAACATCAAATGGAATTTCTTATTGTACACCTACAAAAGTCTTCATACAATTTTATTTCCAATATAAGTATACCTACGCTAAACCTTTCAGGAGAGTAGAATGATGCATAATTAAGATAATACAGATTTTATTTATTTTATCGAATATTCGAATATATTCGAATACTTTCATTGAATATTCGAATATAAATTATTGACAAAATTGACATCCCTAATTTAAATGCTTACATTACTTTGGTATTATCCAAATGTGTTTCACTAAGAGTAATAATACATACCATACATTGCTAATTCTGCAGTAATTAAGTATTTCATTATTCAGGATGACAGATGCTGCCCTTGTGGTGAAATTCTCATCTTTTGATAGAGATTCCAATAATACTTATGTAGGTCATGGTCTAAATTGGGACTTATACAGTATTCCTAGTGTTAGCCATGGACGTATCACTTTCACTGAGATCACATCTATGGCACTTGTTATCCACTTCAAACCCTCTGTATGGGGTATTATTATTATTACTATCAGACTGGTGTTTAGACTACTGTTTCTTTTTTATTTCTAGGCATGTCCTAACATGACAAATACAAACAACACATAATCACTGCAGTGCACACATATATAGCTAGTGAGTCCTACTCACATTCTAGTTACTCGCCTGATGAAACTTTATGAATTGAGAGTTTAATCTGTTTTAAATCATTTTACTCATGTTCAAAAGGTTGTCGCACAAACTCCAGAGCATAGAAAATTCACTCTTGATATAATCACCTACTTGGTAATATAACAACATTCATTTTCACTTATTTCTCGATGGCTTGTTTTATAAACCTGTCCTACATGTCGCCTTGACCTTGACCTTAAAATATGAATGATCACAATACTAGTATGGACTGTAAATCTGAATGAATTAGATTTATGTCTTTAATAAAAAATATTCTAGACATTCAGTGTTTCTTTCAGGAATATTGTCAGATGGGAGAAAACTGTTGCAGAAACCAAAAATTTATACAGTGTAATGGAAATGGTAACATAGAAGAAGGAGTGAGTAATGTTTCATGAATTTAACTCTGCTCGTGATTACAGTGTATGTTCCATTCTATCAGAATTTTATATACTTAATGGAAATTTATTTGTAGCTTTCTTCCGAGTTGTTTGACAGTAGTAAATTTTTACCACCTGATAGCACACAGGATCCAATATTTCCACCTGCTTTGAGGGTATATAACTGTTTTCTAGTTATCTCAACAAAAAAATTATTTATAAAGACATTATTTGAGATTTTATTATTTAAAAAAAAAAAAACTCATTTTTATATACATAACAATACATGGCAGAGAAGTACACAAATAAAATTAAACTAATCATTAAAACACAGTTAATGAAATTGTGTTTTTCATCCATCTTGTTTCCATGGTGACAGACTGACAAGTATGACCAGCAGAGTCTGACATTTATGGGGGAGAGGACAACTTGGTTCCGTCCCTCCAACCTACAGGAGTTGTTAGAGCTCAAACACTCCTATCCTGATGCCAGGCTGGTTATAGGAAACACAGAAGTTGGTCAGTTTATGAAATAATAATATGTGTTAATATTTCTTAATGAATAATAACTTTACATGTATGCGTGAGTAGGGTGAAACTTTTTTTGATAGATAATACTCTTCACCTAATTTCTTGCGGAAAAAAAATTGATTAGGGTTTTACTACTGTCAACAATTGAATTTCAAAGATTGGTGTTCAGTTGGAGTCCAAACATTTTTAAAGAAAAAAAGAAATTCTTGTTATAAAACTTATTTTAAATGTACCAGTAAGTCTGTTTTTGTTTCAAAGGTGTTGAAATCAAGTTGAAGAACATGGTATACAAGACAATGATTGCACCTACTCATATTGAAGAGCTGAACCAGATTTCTAAAGATTCAGATGGAATCACATTTGGAGCCTCTGTCACATTGGCTGTTATTGAGGAAACTCTACAGGAGGCAATTAATGAACATCAAGGTGGATTTTATTTTATCTGCTTGTACATTAAATTCTACCTGTAATCCAGAAAGCCTATATGTGTATAATAGGGGTTGTTATTATCCCCACCACACTTTCTTGTCACCACTTCTCCTAAAGAGAGGAGGGAGATCTTTAAAAAGACCTCACTTCAGAAACAGATAGCAGAGGGGAAGGGGTAAAACTGCCATTCCTGATAGCATTTCTTGTAACAATTCAGTTTACTAATTAGATGATTTTTCTGCTTCCTATATTTTTATCAGTATTTGTTTGCAGAGCACCAAACCAGAATGTTCCAGGCAGTAGTAGAAATGTTAAGGTGGTTTGCTGGGCATCAGATCAGGAATGTGGCAGTGAGTATTCATATGTTGATGCTTCTTTTTTTTGAGATAATTGTGGTATGTGTACATCTCTAGATGATCTCCCTGGTTTGAAGTTAATGTACCGGGTACATGTAAATATATCCAATTCCATTTTCAGGCTGTTGCAGGAAATATAATGACAGCCAGTCCAATTTCAGATTTGAACCCCTTGTTTTTGGCAGCAGGGGTAACTCTTACTGTGATGTCTAAAGGTTAGTTTTGTCTTATTTTACATGATTTAGAAGATTTATGTCATATCCTTATAGTATTTATAAATCATTGGGTTTTTTTTTATATGTCCTATATGTAGAGATGTTGTAACAGAATGGTGTAGTTCAAAATTATTTTGATAATCTATTTTTGATCACACATAATCAGTTCTTAGCCCATTTCTGCGAAGTTGGGCTATACCTTACATAGTTAGCAGCATTGTCAATTACAGTTGGCATTATTATTAGCATTGGAAGTTAAAGTGCTAGGAACATGTACAGCTGTACATTTTCAAAGTATCTCATTAGAGTATAAGACTCAATGCATGGATGATATAATGTACATGTATCATACTTCAGATGCAGCATCATTTTTTATTTTTTTGGCTGAGTAAACAGCTTACAGTTTATGAAGAAGGAAGAAACAAGAAACTTGAACCAAATTTGTTTGGATGATGCAAGTAGTGGTGCACGATACCTTTCATGCTGCACATGCTCCATCTAACATGTATTATCTAATGATACCAACTACCATTCATGCTTTGCATGCTACCTCTGATATACATGTACACATGTATCTTTCATTGATGATGGATGATGCATCTAGATCAATACACAGTGTTAGTCTTGTTATATATTATTTTAATTGAAAGAAAGCAATGTACTTTTATTAATGAATTTTATGTTATCTTTATATGCATCATATTGTACATTCATTTGTACATGTATAAGACTCTGCTTAACTTGTGGTAGATGCAGGCTTTCTATTCTTTGAAAACTAACATATATCAAATTTTTATGTAAAAAAGCACTAGAAAGACAACAGTTGATGCATGATTCATGTAGATGAGTTAAAAATACCAGATTAATTTCTTTTTCTTCAGATCAGGGTAAACGAGAGATTGTAATGGATGAGAAGTTTTTCTTAGGCTACAGAAAAACTGCAGTCAAACCCCAAGAAGTCTTAGTTTCTGTTAAACTGCCATTTATGCAGCAGGTGTGTAGAAATAGTTGCCTGCAAAATTATTGTACTTTTTATAAAGAATGTATAAATGTTCAAATTGTGGCTTACAAGAACAGTAAATCACGGTTCTGTGTATTAAGTACAGTCTTATTAGTACAATTTTAAAATTCATTAAGTGCAGTATGTTAGTATAAAGTAGAAATGTATAAACATTACTGTTCATTTACCTGTATTTATCTTCTCGCCTATTTTTCAGAATGAGTATTTCTTTGGATACAAACAAGCAAACAGAAGAGAAGACGATATTGCTATTGTTAATGCAGGAATACAGGTTCTGTTTGAAGCCAATTCTAACAGCATTAAAGGAATGAGGTTGGCATTTGGTGGTATGGCCCCCACCACAGTGATGGCTACAAAAGCAATGAAAAATTGTGTAGGAAGGTGAGTGCTTGTACCGTACAGTCATCAAAGAGTTAAATGTTGATCCCTATTGATCCCAAAAAAAACAAAACATGTATAATTATAACTTTAGTATCTGAACTTTCAATATCATGTATACTTGTATATTTGGGATCAGATGTATGCTGTTAATAAAATATTGAAGAAGAAAAAAGCTTGAAATATTGGCCTTTTTGAGAAAAAAAAAAAGAATCTTGCAATAGTAATGGTAAAACATTTCATGATGTCATATTCATGGACTAGCAAGAAAATTTTAATTTTGTCTTTTACCTCACCGTGAACAAGTTAAAGGCTCAAGTGAGCATTTCTGATTGACGAGTGTCTAGCATCCCATCTGTTGTCTGTAAATTTATATTTTCAACTTCTTCAAAACCAATGAGCCAATTTTAACAAAAGTGTAGAATTTGTTTTGATGAGATCCAAGTTTCTCCAAATAAAGGGTGTATCCCTTCCAAGTGGAGATTATCTAGAAAACACAAAAAGAGTGGGTCAATTAAAAATATTCTTCTGATAGTTGCTTTACAGAGTATAAAGGATCTGATTTTAATGAGATTGGGAATTTTTTTTATAAAATCATTTAAAGAGTAGCATTCCCATACTGAATCATATTTATATATGCATGAATTCCCAAGTTGTATGGATTCACTTAT